AAATCTAGATGTGTGTTAGAGTGGTAAGTAGATTAAATTAAAAGGAGTTGATATAAGAAACCTTACTTTGTTTTGATTTTAGCATATAAATATATATATATATATATATATATATAGGACCTAAATATTTAATATGAAGCCTTGAAAGAAAGTGGAAGCCTAAGAAAGAGAATCCAAACTAGTGGGAGGCTCATTGAAAGGGATGAAAGCAAGGCATGGTCGGATGAAGGCAAGGAATAGAGAACTTCATCCCTATTGGTCGAATATCATACCTAATGGGCTTTGAAGAGACTACATGTGACTTTAACAAGGATTTTGGCAACTTCAAATGAAGCATTTGGAAATTAGAAGCTAGAGTTGTAAAGTTTAGGATTTGAGCTATAATTTGTATATAAAAATTAGAGGATTTGGAATTAAGATGAAGAAGTTATAGTCATTTGAAGTTAAAGTATTAATTTAAGACATACTATTACTCTTTTGTGAATACAAAGAATTGTACAACAGTTTTTGAAGATCAAAAGGTGCGGCTCAAACAGAAATTTTAAGGCCTACATCTTTTATAAAAGAATTGTTGTTTTTGGAATTCATGTAAAAGAGATATAAGAAGTTGAAGACAATGCTTCGAAATCAAAGGCAGTAAGTAAGTGTCAAGGACATACACTAGGAATTTGTAGAAGATTTTAGAAGATTCTAGAGAAGCTTTGTAGTTTGTAGAAGCTACTTGAAAAGTTTTCAAGCTCATGGAAGTTGTTTGAAAAGCTTCTTAACTTGTAGAAGTTACTTGAAAAGCTTTCTAGCTTGTAGTATATATAGGAGCCAAGACTGAGGGAAACCTTAATCTAGAAAATACACCTCTTGGAGCTCTAACTCACCTCTCTAGTGTTGTTTTTGTACTCATCTGATTAATCTAGTTCTTCCCAATTCTTCTTGAGCTTCTTGTTTAGATTTCCAATCAATATTCTAAACTCATGACAGTTTGTCGTGACTCCATTCATCTTTAATATCAAAGCTAGTTTCTTCTTGTTAAAGTGTGGATTATCCCTCTGCTTGAAGGTGCTAGTATTTTAGAGGTTGCAGATTACCGTCCTCTAAATTGATATTTCTTCTATTATAATATTGGAGTCTTATCTTTCTTGGAGAGAGTGGATTATCTCTCTTCTTGAAGGTTTTAAGGTGTTTAAGAGGTTGCAAAGTATCCTCCTCTAAACTAATACTGTCTTCTTGTAGAGTCATTTCTTACCTTCTCTTAGAATGGCCGGAGGTCAAGATATTAGTATGACTAAAAGTTCGGAGTCCAAGTTGGATGCCATCGTGAATGCTCTTGCTACGTTATCATAGAGAACTGTAGAGATTGAAGGAATCATTATAAGACTTTATAATGATGGAGCATCCGAGATGGCACAATTGAGGATTCACTAGCCTCAAGCTTCAGCACCAAGAGAAGCAACTTTGTCTCTAGTTCAATAAAGACCGTTGGTCTTACAACGAAAGGAGCCCCGAATTAGCCTTCTAGACAAGTTCAATGGTATACATTCCAAGTTTTGAGGTTTTGTCAATCAAATTAGATTGATAACAGCTTTACAGCGTGAATGTTATTTGACGGAGGAGTCACATGTTAGACTGATTGGAACTTTGCTCACATGACAAGCTTTATCATGGTTTGTTCCTTTGTTTGAGAAAAGATCATCAATTTTGAACAACTTTGAAACTTTTTTGGATGCGTTTGTGGAAGCATTTGGCAAACACGACAAGGCATGATGGACTACAAAAAAGATCTGATTGCTATGACAAGGGGCACGCTCTATGTCAGTCTATGCATTAGATTTTAGAGAATTAGCGTGTGACATCAACTAGGACGAGGAAGCATTGATGAGTCAATTTTATTGGGGCTTGAGAGATGATGTGAAAGATTTGTTATTATTTCTTTTCAATCCGCGAATGCTAAATGAAGCTATTAGCCAAGCTGTGAAGTATGATAATGACTTGTTCCAACGTTACCAAGACCAATGCTCAAGACAACATACGGTTCACCACGCTCCAACTATGTCAGCAAACAGCTTGAATTTATATTCAGAGGTGGAAGACATGTAAATTGATGCGGTACGTGTCAAATTCCTAACTCTAGAAGAAAAAAAGTGGCGTATGGAGGAAGGACTATGCTTGTATTGTGGTGAAGAAGGCCACAAAGCTAAAAACTGTTCCAAGAAGCAAAATCAACACATTATCAAGACCAGAGGCGCGTTTGTTCAGAAAAATGAAGATGCCCAACCATAATAGGGACCGTGCAGCTTGAAAATTCAATACCACAATAACAATCAGGTTCCTCTCTTTCTGCTCAGCTTGTCCATTGCTTTATCATTTTTCTATCTTTTGGCCCTCAAAAACTAAAAACTTAGCACTATTAGATTTAAGAACATTTGTTTATTTTTTAGACAAAGAATTTGCTAAGCATCATGAGATTCTTCTAGTACAAAAACCTAAACCTATTCATGTAGAAGTAATAGATGGACAACCTTTATTGTCTGGTAGTGTCACCCATGAATGAGAACTTATAGATGTGACGTTTAAAGACCATATTAGTTATATTATTTTTAATATTATTAGAATCCCATCAAACCCTATTATTCTTGGTCTTTCTTGGTTAGAAATGCAAAATCCATCCATAGATTGGAAGTTACGAAGGATGACATTTCTTACAAAACATTCCAAGAGTAAGCTTGTTAGAAGATCCCGAATCAAAAAATCCTTATTTATTAGACAAGAGCATTTGTAACATAGTCTAAGGAAGGCACACCATTTGTCATTTATGTGACTCCAACTAGTTGAGAGAAGATTTTGACAGCAAATATATTAGAATAATATAAGGATTTTGAAGATGTGTTTCAAAAAAAGAATGCCGACATGATACTAGAGCATCGACCATACGATTGTGCCATAGACTTGCGAAAAGGAGCACAACCACCTTTTGGCCCAATCTACAATTTGTCATAGACATAGTTAGCTAAGTTGTGAAAGTACATTAACGAGAATCTAGCCAAGAACTTCATTTTTCATTCAAAGTCACCAGTTAGGGCATCAATCTTATTTGTGAAGAAGAAAGATGGCTTGCTATAGATGCACGTGGATTATCAAGGTCTCAACAAGGTAACAAAGAAGAATCGTTATCCATTATCCTTGATATCAGGTCTTCTAGAGCAACTTGGGCGTGTAAGGATCTTTACAAAGATTGATCTAAAGATAGCTTACAACCTCGTGTGAATCAAGGAAGGAGATGAATGGAAGACAACTTTCCGTACAAGGTATGGCCATTTTGAATATAATGTCATGCCTTTTGGTCTTACCAATGCTCCGGCGGTCTTTCAACACATAATGAATGACATCTTTTGGGAGCACTTTGATGATTTTGTTGTCATCTATCTAAATAATATTTTGATATTTTCCAAGAACATAGAAAAATATGAAAAATATGTTCATCTGGTCTTTGAAAAATTCTGCGAGCAAGGACTTTATGCCAAGTTGGAGAAGTGTTTCTTTAACCAAATTGAGATGGAATTTTTGGAATTCATTATAATTACGGAAGGCTTGAAGGTGGACCCTAAGAAGGTAGAAGCAATCGTATGATGGGAAGTTCCAAAGACGATTAGAGATGTACAATACTTTCTTGGCTTTACTAACTTCTATTGGATCTTCATCAAGAAAAATTGCTGCTTCGCTCATTTGGTTGACATGTAAAGATAAGCTCGAATAGGGACCTGTACCAAAAAAAGCATTTCAAGATCTTAAGATGGCATTTACTATGGCTCCAATCTTGGTACATTTGGACCTTGCAAAGGCCTTCTATTTAGAGACTGATGCTTCAGATTTTGCTATGGGAGCTGTACTTTCATCGATAGGCGCAGAGAAGAAGCTTCATCCAGTTGTGTTCTACTCTTAGAAGTTTTCTGCTACCAAGATCAACTATGAAATCTATGATAAAGAACTTCTTGCGATAGTGGATTCTTTTCAAGAGTGGCATCACTTTCTCGAAGGAGCTGCACATCCGATGACCGTATACATGGATCACAAGAATTTAGAGTACTTCATATTGACTCGGGTTCTGAATTATCGTTAAGCTCGATGGAATATGTTGCTATCCAGGTTTGACTTTGTTATTACTTATCGGCCTGAGAAGCAACAAGGACTATCCGATGCATTATCAAAAAGATCGTATCTAGCGCCAAAGGCTAGAGAAGCAGCGTTTGATCAACAGTGTACAACATTGTTGAAGTCGAAACAATTCAGGCTTTACTCTACTATAGTACTAATTGATGCTCACTTCCTCAACCAAGTACGTACTGCGACTATTGGAGATTCTGTAGCCCTTGATATCATGCAACGTATCAATAATGACAAGTTCAAGGTGGAAGGAGATCTTTTATACTTTGATGAGCGGTTGTATATTCCAAAGGGACCAGCACCACTCCGAGTTCTCTAATCTCAACACGACTTTCGAGCTGCGAGACATTTTGGATTCAATAAGAACTTGAAACTTATTTCCCGAGATTTTTGGTGGTTCCAAATGTGGAAGGATGTGAAGGATTTTGTCTTCTTCTGTGACATTTGTTCAAGATCCAAGAACCCTCGGCATCGTCCTTATGGTCTTCTTGAGCCATTGCCTATTCCACGTTGGCCATGATCTTCAGTTTCCATGGACTTCATTACAGACCTGCCGCCATCGAATTCATTTGACAGCATCTTTGTTGTGGTAGATCGGCTTACAAAGATGGCACAATTTGTTCCTTGCAAGAAAATATCGTTAAGCAAAGACATAGCAAGGCTCTTACTAGATAGTGTCTATCGATATCTTAGTTTACCAGATGATATCATGTAGGATCAAGGAACCTAATTCGTATCAAAGTTCTAGAGATCTTTCTTTGAGATATTGAAGGTGGATATTTGTTTCCTTCAGGATGGGATGATTCAAGTAAGTAACCAACGCTTCTTTGCTCTCAAATCGAATGTGAAGTGCATGGGTCAAACCCTCTTTCCCTTTAATAAGCCTCCTTGCAAGTTTGAAAACGCTTCAAAATCCAATTCTCAGACAAGGAATTCCCAAATGAGAACTTTTTTGCAGTATAGACCACTGCAGATTAAATCTTCACACCTAACCAAGATGGAAGGACTTAACTCATGAGGCTGTTGTAAATTTATCAACCGTTAAAAGTATTTCACCTGTAGAGAGAAAGACAATACTATCAAAGTGGAACTGCAACGACCACAGCACATCAAGCATTTCAGCCTCTTGTTGCCTGTCAACATCCTCCTTCAATCGCATCACCACCACGTGCTCACAAATTCTCCTGCAAAATTCACCCAGCTCACCAGAGCCGAAGTGTGAAGCTCTAGATATAGTTGGAATCGAAAAGCTGAATACCTAAGTCTTGTGAACTCAAATTTTCAAATCAGTTTTGATTCAGTTGTTCCAGATGTCCATACAGTCTCTTACCTCTTGGAGGCTTTCATCACTTCGGTCGCGGTATCCATCGGGGGAATAGGACCAAGCGACGTAATTTCCACATCTGATTCATCCATGGAAAAAAAAATACTGTTGGAGAACCCCCTAAGCCAAAAGTAGTCTCTAGTCCGTAGATCGTCGACTGCAGGGACAAGGCAAGAGAACTGCTGTAAAACCAAGGTTGCGGTGCGCAAGAACGAAGTCTACAGAATGCTCTTCTACTTTGATATGCACACAACGCACGACATCCGACATCTGAAAGGGAATTCAGGCAGGCTCAAGACCCAGTACTCTCAATTATTGACCGAAGTCTTATATTTGACCATTCGGCGAAGAGTTGCACTCTCAACTTGTGTGGTCTAGGCCCTTAATTATCAACCTCAGGAATCATCATCAACTTCACAATCACAACCCGAACACGATATAATTTTAGAGCTAATCTAACCCACGATCACAAAAACTTTCTCTGTTTCATTCATGACCAAATAACTCATTGCCTCAAGTCTACTCCTGCAGATGGTGATCATAAAATTACCTGCGAGCCCTTGCGAAATCACGCTTCCACACTCTGAGCGCTGCCCAAATTAGTACGATCACTTCCAACCAGGTGAGACCCAACAACAGATGTCTATCGAGAGAACACAACTTGAAATGCGTCGCATTGGCCGGAGAAGAAAGCCAGCTGTGGCTGTGCTGCCAATTGGATATTTCAGGAAGCAAAACGTGGCAGTTCCTTGGTAGTCATTAGTAAGGACTTTGTTAAGGGCACTTAAAATAATCATGTTCTAAGGTGTACCTTCATGATTGCAACTGCAACAGTAAACAAGCTAGCTTTTAACAAATCACCAAGAAACGAAACTCAAATTGTGGAATTTGGCGTCTTTGTCATTCCTGCAGCAGAATTTCAGGTACCGTATGTGCACTGTCAAAGAAAGCAACGGAAAGACCTTGCATTAGTGGGAAATATCGCAGGAGCATTGGGTGTGAGTGTTGATTGTGGGTTGCGTTGCCGAGGCTGAAACGATGAGGAAGGCAATGCCAATTTTCGGGAGGTTATGTTGGTTAGCGGAGAGGAAGATACGGCTTCCAGCTGTACCGTTAGGGTTGCGGGGAATGGCTAAGGATAATAAAACCTGGGGGGGGGATGCATGCGAAAGCGGTGGTGCTGGGAAGGAAAAGCACATCGAGGTGCTGCTGCCCATGTTTGGTGTAGCTGGGAAGTATGCGAGCGCTTTGTACGTAGTCGCAGTGCGAGGAAAAGCATTGGACACCATAAAGGCCGACTTAATGCAAGTCACCGGAGTCGCCGGCATGCCTGGCACTTTGTTCGCCGAGTTCATGAAAGACCCATCGATATCCAAAGCATCCAGGGTAGCGACCGTCGAGGCGGTGTTCAAGGCGACAAACTTTCACGGCGTCACGAAGAATTTCATGAATTTGCTTGCGGAGAATGGGAGGCTCAACTGGGTACCAAAAATTTTCAAATGTTATAACGAGCTGTTGAATGCGCACAAAGGAAAGGTAGAGGTGTACGTGACAACGGCGATGGAGCTCAGTGAAACCGACTTAGAGGAGATCAAGAAGGCAATGAAAGGAAATGTTGAGAAAGGTCAGAATGTCGAAATTACGCAGAGAGTCGACAGGAGTATTATTGGCGGCATTGTGGTTGCTATTGGAGACAAGCACATCGATCTTTCCATTGCAAGAAAAATCACGCAGATGGAGAAAGTTCTAGCTCAGGCCATTTAAGAGATTCGATGAACTCTTTCTCTCTGTATGCATCCCTGCTTCGATCTCATGAAGCTCTCGCTCTCTCTCTAGTCAAGATCATTTGTGACGATATCGATGAATAGTGAAATTATTGGTTTCAAATTCTGGGCCAGTTCATGGACGGCAGCCACGGTCGTCGCCTTCTGATCATGATAAATAGTAAGCGCAGTGTACCTCTAATTTTCAGTCAAATTCCTCAGCGACAAAAATTGTAAATTGACTACATCAAGTTTAATTCGCATGGACCTGGTCGTTTCAGGTATTCGGTTAACAGTATCTTTCAGTCTTTCACGGATGGCAGAGAGCTGGCAACATGTATCGGAATTTTATTGCCTTGGCTGAACAGCTGGATAAATTCTGTAGCGCCAGAGAATGGTCGTTTCTCTTTCCGTTCTACTGCTATTTCTTTAAATTTTTTTGTTATTTTCCCATTTTGAACTATTTGAAATTCTCAAAATCTTTATATTTTCTGGATATTATTTATCAACTTTAGTCTCTCCATCACATGTGAAAAGTGAGTGTCCTGTGGCTTGTAATGATCCTCTTCCAGGTTGTAATTCAGTCTTTAACTTGGAGAGTAGAGTTCGGTCAGTTGTGAAATGCCCTGAAAGGTTGGGATACAGAAAGTTATTAAAGAGTGATCTAGCAGGATTGAGTAGAATCGGTTAAGAAAAAGGAAAACCAGGAGTGAAAGTTCGACGCAAGCGGGGAGATGGCCGAAGCTGGTGAAGGACATGAAGAATAATTTGGGATCACGAGTGTTGAATGGTGCCTTGGAGAAGGAACCACGCAGGTGGGGTCCTGATCGGCACCAGCATGCACAAACTGAAAGTCTTGAAATGGAAGACATGAAAATAATTTGGATATTCAGTGACATAACGTACTTTTTTCCTAGTTCACAGTAATAAACAGTTTCGATCATTGCAAGAAACTAGTCTGAGAGGGGGAAAAAAAAAATCCTTCAGCCCAGATCTGGAAAAGGTATTTAGGAAGAATCTTAAGAGATGCTGAAAGATAATACGTAAACAAGATACAATTCAATCACAGATGTAGTGCTATAACTGAATGGACACTGCATAATCACGTTGATGGTAGGGAGCATTGATGGAGGCCACATTAAACAATATATAGTAAAAGTAGACTATCCAACAATGGAGGAAGTCGCTGGCACATTAAAACTTGGACAAGAAAACATGGAGCGAATAACGTGGCTGTCCCACAACACGAAACTAGACACAGCAAGGAATGTCCTGCTTGGATATGCTCATGCGTCCTGATTCTTCGGCTTTTGTGAACCAACATGTCAGTTGTAACAGCCTCTCTTGTGCGTTGGTGCTGTTGAAGATTGGTAAGTGGTGCCAATGCGCTTAATTGAATATGAAATTGGGTGCTACAGAGAATTTGGGTACCTTAGCCAGATGGCAGAAGCGTGATTGAGAGGAAAAGGGCTTACCGATATGCTTCTCTACAGATGAAATGTGCATCAACACGGAGACTCGGAGCATTGCAGCGTGTGGACGAGCGACGTAATCCAATTATGGCACTTATCGGTGCCCCCGCTTCATGTGAACAGCATAAATCTCCCGCTTCTCGTTATGTTTGCCTCTCAGATCAGTGGTGCTTGTTCAAGTCAATTAGATGGAGTGTGTTGAATCCTTGGCCGTATCCATGCCGCAATCAGTAAAAGGGAGTCACGCTGTGTTGTGAGCACTGCAGAGCCAGCATTCGTGAGTCGATAGTGATACATATAGATTGCTTGCTTCCTTTTATTGATTGTGGTATAGATGCGCTTGAGTGATACCTTGTGTAACCTTGAAACTTGAGTGTCATTTACCTCTGTCTCTCTCGCTCTCTCTCGCTCTCTCTCGCTGTGTATGTGTGAGTCTCTACCCCGTCCCAATTTTCCCCCCGGGGGGTTATCCCTCTGCAGACATATCGAGACCCTGGGGAGATGCAGCTGCTGGTCCTGGTGCTGAACCAGCAAGTCCCCACCACCGCTCTCTCCTCTCGGCATCACCATCACCTGCTTGCTCCTTGGTCTTCACTTCTCCTCTTTGTCTCTCTCACTCACTCTCGCTCTCTCTCCCTAACTCTCTAACTCTCAGTGTGTGTGGGGGTATGTGTATCTCTTTCTCTGTGTCTCATTGTGCATCCTTTCTACTGAGTAGTTAATTCCTTTGCGAACGTGCCTCCACAGTTCTCTGTGTGTCTGCCTGCCTTCCTCCTCATTTCATTTCCTTTTTCTTGCTTCCTGGTGTCACTAAAGTGCCTCGTACATTTCCTGACTATTATCTACACTAGTATGTAGTGTTTTATGACTCGATTAGCACTATTCTGTTTAATTCATAATAATATTTAATATTCCGTTTTGTGCTAACAAAACCTGGAAACAAACAGTTCTTGTTGCATGAGCCTAAATTACCTATGCATTCCATTAGCACCACAGATGCATGGCATTGAAGTAGTAATTTGTCTGATACATAGTTTGAAGGAGCACCCTTAGATTAGAATTCCTAAAATACTTCACAATTCTAATTCCAGTTAAATATTCACACAATATTTATCTTTAGTTGTAACTTTTATATTAAAATACGATTGATGCTGTTAGGTATATCCAATCATTACAATCATAGCTGACATTCCAGCACAGACAATGCATAAACATGTTTTTTATTGTTCTATTTAACCATCATTTTTAAACATATTGTAAAAATAATTATTTTAATATTTCATTCTTGAAATATGTTTTCGTAAATATAGATATTTTCTGATGTACAAGTATAACAAATATTCAATGATATAGTTTTGCCAATCTATTCAATTATTTTCTTTTAAATCACATTGGATAAACGATGTTGATTTTATATTATAATAAATTACTAGTTCACATATGTACTGATGTAGTTTAAATTAAAATTTAGTGATTTTAGATAATATTTGTGGAAAATCAGCATTTTAAAAGTAGATAGAAAATAAACCATAAAGCTAATATTACAATATCTTTATTTATGCACTAGTTTTTTATGACAATATAAGTCTTTTACAAACTTCCATATTGAATACCTCCAAATACTCTATGATAATTTATTTTAATGTATTGGTATATATTGGTTGGATACTAAGAGAAGAAAGGAAATCTCAAAGATAATAGAAATAGAAGGCTTTTTAAGTTGTGTTGACTTTGTAGATGAAATAACTTTATCTCTTCGCCAGAAAGCAATTATCAATGTTGCTATTTACTTTAATTGCAAGTAAAAATACTTGATATCTTTTAAGGTTGTTTACAACAATGACTAATAAGTCATTGCTTATCACTTTTGCTACCTTGATTCTTTCCACAACTCTACTATCTATAATAATACTTTTATTATACAAGTATCTTAAAAAATATTTAGTATAAGAGAACTTTAAATTCCTATCTTCCACTTCAAATTCATTGTTGTTGGATTCTTGAAGCTCTTCAAGTAAGCCAATCACATTGCCAAAAGAAACCAAGGAGTCCAAAACTTGTATTGGCTTTATGGTTGTATCTTCTTAAAATAATTTTTTCATCCTCTTGAAATAGCTTATACTTTGTTGAATTTTTGCTCAATAATATACACTCTCTTATTATTTTCAATCTTAGTAATACTATAGCCAATCTTCTACAAGTTTTTGAAGAGTTTAATAAGTTTCTTCTTATGAGTTTAAAGATGGCATCTTATAGTCTTATATTCAAGATTAAGTCATTAATTGCTTAGATTTTTGATTATATATTTGAGCATAATCAAGCTTTTTGTCTTTATCTTTAGATAATTACTAATTATGGTGATGCTATATTTACCATAAATACTCTCAAAGTTCTTTTTATCTTCAAAATAAGATAAAATATTTACAAAGTCAATTTCTATTAAGTAGATCAGATATCTTAGATATAACTAAAGCAAAAATGGTAGGAATATAAGAAAAAAGAAAAATCAAAGTATAAAATAAAAAGGTGTAAAGATGTCAAGTACAAACCAAATTATAGTCAAAATAAAAATAAAGTTTAAATCAAAAATTTCTTCCAATGATTCTGTAAAGGAATATAGATAAGATATTTCTATTGTTAATGCATAGGGATAGATAGTTGGAACCATGTTTGAAAATTTTGTAGAAGTTTTTAGAATTGAAGCTAGGTTAATAGACTATATAGAATCCACCATAGAACATTCTAAAAAGATCTTAAGGTAATTATTTAGATAGAATCTTTCAATAAGAATATTCTAAAAAAAATCTAAGTTGATTGGATAAAATATAAAAAGGGTAAGCTAAGGTGTCACGGACACAAAATACAGACTTGAAATATAACAAGAAGTTCAAGAAGAAGTGATAGAACTAGATTAAACAGATGAGTACAAGAACAATACCAGAAAGCTGAGCTAGAACTCCAAGAGATGTGTTGTCGAGACTGAAGAACTCTTCAGCCTCAATCCCTATATATACTCCTACTTAAGAAGCTTCTCGAGCTACTTCTATTAACTAGGAAGCTTCTAGAAAGTTCCAGGGGATTCCTTTCTAGAAGCTTCTAGAAACTTCTCTTCTAGAAGGTTCCAGAGACTTCCTTTCTAGAAGCTTTTAGAAACTTCTCTCTAAAATGTTCCAGAGGCTTCTCTTCTAGAAGGTTCCAGAGGCTTGTTTTCTAGAAGGTTCTAGAAACTTCTTTCTAGAAAGTTCTAAGGAATATGTCCCTAACATAAGGCCATTTCGACATCTTATCACATATGGCTTATGACCCTTTGTCTTAGTAAAGTTTGGTTTTTCATCTTCTTCTTCAGTTTTTTTCTATTTTCTTTTATTGTCTACTTTGTTCTATATTGTGATAAAATTTATGTCGTTGTGGATTAAAAGGGTCTTAGATTTTTGAGATAATCCAATGTTGTTCCATTAATATATGAGCAAGTATTAAAATTCTAAGTTCTTTAGTAGCATATCAATAGCCACCATCTAGTTCAAGGTCAATTATTGTGGTTCCACTAGATACTGTATTGAGGTTATCTCGAGCTAATCTTAAGAAGTTAGCTAGAAGGAGAGAAGGCATTATAATAGTGGAGTTGAATAAGGTTGTTGCAGCATGGGAGATATGACAGAGCAATCTTAGATGGAGGTTCAAATAATACACCTCCTAGGCCAAATAGCTACCTTATAAAGGCAAATAGAAGCCTCTAGGATAACGAAGCCAATATTTGCTAGACTAAAATTGAGTAAGCCTAGTACATACTCTGAGACTTCAAGGCAAGAAGATATATACCAATAGCTCTTCAGCATGTGACAATACTTCCAACTATCTGGGACAAATACCACTAAAAGAATTATATATGCAGCCAATTATTTAAAAAATGCGGTAGCCATTTGATGGCAACATTGAATTCAAAGCTATGGAGTTCAAGGTGGATTTTGTAATTGAAAGGAATTTGAGACCAAGTTTAGGAATCAATTTTGGTACATCAATGTAGAGAAGATAGATACAATCAATTGGTAAATCTTACACAATCTAGGTTTGTGCAAGATTTTGTCTCTCAATTCAAGTCCCTATATCTCTAAATTGATAATGTTTTAAAGGCAAAGATGATGAATTGATTTCTATAAGGATTGAAATGTCGAATCTAGTAAGAGGTAGAACTAAAGAATCCACAAACATTTGAAGAGGCAATTACAATTATAAAAAAGGTCAATTCTATAGATTTTAGAAATTTTGGAGTATGACTTATAGTACGAAGTTTTATGTTGCTATCTAATACTATGGCACAAAAATCAATGCCAGTAGAAATTGATGCCCTACAAAGATTATTGACACCACAATGACAACAAATAGTATCATAGAAAGGATTATGCTTCTATTGTGGGGAGCTAGGCCATCAGATTGGAAGTTGTTTAAAATATCAAAATTCAAGCACCAATAAATCAAAGTAGATTCTTAGTCTAGAGATTCACCAAGTTAATAACAAGATAGAACAAGGAAATGGGGCTCCTTAATAAAAGCACAAAAGGTCAATATTGGAGATAGATGTTGTCTTTCAGAGATAAATAACATAGCCTCAAATAACTATAAAAATAGTCAATTGGTATATCTAATAGGACAACTAAGAGGAGAGCCATATTAAGTACTTGTGGATTGTGGCTCTATAGCAAATTGTATCTCAAATAAAATTACCAATTGACTTGAGATTAAAATCAAGGTAATTAAAAGAAGAAAAATATACCTTACAGATGACTCAGAGAATGTATTGAGTGGGAGATGTGAAGAAGAAACCTTGATGTTGAGTGAAAGCTACTTTAATAAGATATCGATAAGATAATTGTATAGATAGATAGAACCATGGAAGTTTTTAGAATTGGAGTTAGGTTAATAGACCACATAGGATCCATCAAAGAACATTCTAGAAAGAGTTTAGGATGGTTATTTAAGTAGGATCGATCATGGAACCTTTTAGAAAAGGCTTAGGGCAATTATTTAGGTAGGATCCACCATGGAACCTTATAAAAATGAAGTTTAAGGTGGTTATCTAGGTAGAGTCTACTACCTAGGAACATTCTAAAAAGTCCAGGGTGATAGAATAAGGTATAAATAGGATTGGCTAGGGCCTTTTGAGGCATCTAGTTAAATATGGCTTCAGACCAGTTCTTTTAGTAAAGTTTTGTTTAGTTTAGTTTTGTTTTATTTCTATTTATTTAGTTTATCTTTTATATCCTATTTTGTTTAGTTCTATTTAGTTCTTTCCTGATTTATTTTGTCCTATTTTGTGATGAAGCTTCATGTTGCTATAAATTAGAAGGATCTTGGATTTTAAAGATAGTTTGGTCATGTTTCATTGATATCAGAGTAAGTGTTAAATTGTTTACTTTTGGTAGTATATCAATAGTCATCATTTAGTCTAAGATCAATTATTGTGGTTATACTAGATATTGTATTGAGGTTATCACAAGATACTCTTAAGAAGTCAATTAGGAAATAAAAAGGTATTATAATTGTGGAGTCTAGTAAAAAAAATTACAATATGGGAGATATGGCAAAGCAATCCCAGATGGAAGCTCCAATACAACACCTCTTAGGCCAGATAACTACTTTGTAAGGGCAAATAGAAGCCCTGAGGATAAGAGAGTCAACATTTGTTAGGTTGAAATTGAATAAGCCTACTACATACTCTACGACTTCCACACAAAGAGATGTATGTCAATGGCTTTTCAACATGTGGTAATACTTATAACTATCTGGAGCAAATACCACTAAAAGAATTATATATGCAACTAGCTATTTAAAAGATACAATAACCATTAAGTGGCGACATTGAATTCAAAGCTATACAGCTTAAGATAGATTTTGTGATTGAAAGGAGTTTGAGACAAAATTTAGGAATCAATTTAGGCCCATCAATGGAAAAAAGATAGCACATGATTAGTTGGTAAATCTTACACAAGCTAGGTCAGTGTAAGATTGTGTCTTCCAATTCAAGTTCCTATATCTCTAAATTGATAGTGTTTTGGAGGCGGAGATGATGGATCAATTCTTACAAGATTTGAAATATGGAGTCTAACGAGAGGTAGTACTAAGGGATCCACAAACATTTGAAGAGGCAATTTGGATTGCACAAAGGATCTATTCTATAGATTTCAAAAATTATAGAGCATGACTTATAGCACAAA